GCTCCTCCTCTACTCCTCCTCATCTGGTCCTTCTCCTCTGCCCCTCCTCTGACCCTCCTCTGCTCCTCTTCTGCTCCTCCTCCCCTTCTCCTCCTCTGCCCCTCCTCTGCTCCTCCCCCCCTTCTCCTCCCCTGCTCCTCCTCTGCTTCTCCTCCTCTGGTCCTTCTCCCCTGCTCCTCCCCTTCTCCTCCCCTGCTCCTCCCCTGCTCCTCCTCATTTCCTCCTCTACTCCTCCCCTGCTCCTCCCCTGCTCCTCCCCTGCTCCTCCCCTGCTCCTCCCCTGCTCCTCTTCTACTCCTCCCCTGCTCCTCCTCTGCTCCTCCCCTTCTCCTCCTCTACCCGCCCCAACTCCTCCCCTGCTCCTCCTCTGCTCCTCCTCTGCTCCTCCTTAGCCTCAGAACAGCCTGCCGGACATCGTGGTGTGGATGCTGCAGGGGGACCGCAGACTGGCCTATCACAGGGTCCCGGCTCACCTGGTCCTGTTCTCCCCAGACCCCCGCACCAGAGGGAGGCACTGTGGGGAGGTGCAGAGCGTCTTCCTCAAGGTACGGGACCAGAGAGGAGGTGGGAGGAGGCGTGAGGAGAGAGAGGAGGTGTGAGGAGAGAGAGGAGGTGTGAGGAGAGAGAGGAGGTGTGAGGAGAGAGAGGAGGTCTGAGGAGAGAGAGGAGGTCTGAGGAGAGAGAGGAGGTGTGAGGAGAGAGAGGAGGTGTGAGGAGAGAGAGGAGGTGTGAGGAGAGAGAGGAGGTGTGAGGAGAGAGAGGAGGTGTGAGGAGAGAGAGGAGGTGTGAGGAGAGAGAGGAGGTGTGAGATGGTCTGATAGATAGAGGACTGAGGAGAGAAAGGTCTGAGTCAGTTGTGTGTACCTGTGCTCCTCAGTTGTGTGTCCCTGTGCTCCTCAGTTGTGTCTCCTCAGTTGTGTGTCCCTGTGCTCCTCAGTTGTGTGTCCCTGTGCTCCTCAGTTGTGTGTCCCTGTGCTCCTCAGTTGTGTGTACCTGTGCTCCTCAGTTGTGTGTCCCTGTGCTCCTCAGTTGTGTGTACCTGTGCTCCTCAGTACCCACAGGGCTCGGGAGCAGAGGCCAAGCTTCCAGGGCAGCTGCGGCTGAAGATGTGGTTTGGTCTGAGCTCCGACGTCAAACACTTCAACGACTGCGCAGAAGGAAAACTGTCCGTGTTCGCAGAGACGGTGAGTGACAGGGCCCTCAGCCAATCACAGCGCAGCACCACCCACCAAGGGTCTGAGCCAATCACAGCGCAGCACCACCCACCGAGGGTGTGAGCCAATCACAGCGCAGCACCACCCACCGAGGGTGTGAGCCAATCACAGCACAGCACCACCCACCGAGGGTCTGAGCCAATCACAGCGCAGCACCACCCACCGAGGGTGTGAGCCAATCACAGCACAGCACTACCCACCGAGGGTCTGAGCCAATCACAGCACAGCACTACCCACCGAGGGTGTGAGCCAATCACAGCACAGCACTACCCACCGAGGGTCTGAGCCAATCACAGCACAGCACTACCCACCGAGGGTCTGAGCCAATCACAGCACAGCACTACCCACCGAGGGTCTGAGCCAATCACAGCACAGCACTACCCACCGAGGGTGTGAGCCAATCACAGCACAGCACCACCCACCGAGGGTGTGAGCCAATCACAGCACAGCACTACCCACCGAGGGTGTGAGCCAATCACAGCACAGCACTACCCACTTTTGCCTATGGCTTTTTCAAAATGGCCGCGGGCAGGTGTCCCGTAGCAACAGAAAAGTATAAAACGTAAATAAATGATATTCTTCTTTTCTTCAGAGAATTATCTTTTTAATTATGTATAACGTGCCATTATACCTCTCACTGTTGATGATTCCGAGCTCAGAAACTGTAATACCGCCTCGTACCTGTAGGGCCTCTCTCACCGTGTCCCTGTGCTCCCCCCGCAGTACGAGAACCAGACACGGCTCGCCCTGGTGGGCAGTTGGGGAACTACAGGCCTCTCTTACCCCAAGTTCAGCGACGTCAGCGGCAGAGTGAAGCTGCCCAAGGAGAGCTTCAGACCCTCGGCAGGATGGAGCTGGGCTGGGGACTGGTACATCAGCCCCGAGAGGACGTGAGTGAGGGGGGAGAGGGGGGAGAGAGAGGGGGAGAGAGAGGGGAGAGAGAGGGGAGAGAGAGGGAGAGAGAGAGGGAGAGAGGGGGGGGGGGGAGAGAGAGGAGGAGAGGGGAGAGGAGGAGCGAGGAAGAGGGGAGGAGAGAGAGAGGGGAGAGAGGAGAGAGAGAGGAGAGAGGGGGGACAGAGGAGAGGGGGGAGAGAGGGGCGAGAGAGGGGAGAGGAGGGGAGAGGAGGGGAGAGAGAGAGGAGAGAGAGGGGGGGGGAGGAGAGAGAGGAGGAGAGGGGACAGGAGAGAGGGGGAGAGAGAGGAGAGGGGAGAGAGAGAGGGGGAGAGAAGGAGAGAGGAGAGGGGAAGAGGAGAGAGAAGGGAGAGAGAGAGGGAGACAGAGCGGGAAGAGAGGGGGAGAGAGAGGGGGAGAGAGAGGAGAGAGGAGAGGGAGAGAGGAGAGGGGAAGAAGAGAGAGAGGGAGACAGAAGCGAGGAAGAGGGGGGAGAGAGAGGAGGGGGTAGGAGAGAGAGGTGAGGTAGACAGGAGCGAGGAAGGGGGAGGAGAGAGAGGAGGGGGAGACAGGAGCGAGGAAGAGGGGAGGAGAGAGAGGAGGGGGAGACACGAGCGAGGAAGAGGGGAGGAGAGAGAGGAGGGGGAGACAGGAGCGAGGAAGAGGGGAGGGAGAGAGGAGGAGGGGGGGAGGAGAGAGGAGAGGGAGAGAGGAGAGGGAGAAAGGAAGGGGGGGAAGAAGAGAGAGAAGAGAGAAAGACAGAAGCGAGGAAGAGGGGGGAGAGAGAGAGGAGGGGGTAGGAGGGGAGAGGTGAGGTAGACAGGAGCGAGGAAGGGGGAAGGAGAAAGAGAGAGGTGAGAGAGGACAGAGAAAGAGAGAACAGGGAGAGATGGAGGAGAGAGAGGAGGACAGAAAGAGAGGGAGGAGATAGGGAGGGGATTAGAGAGGAGGGAGGGGAGAGGCTTCCCAACCCTTGGTCTCTCTCTCTTTCCCAAACTTACAAATCCTTCAATCCCTCCCTCACTGTAACTCCCCCACCCTTTCACTCCCTCACCCTCTCTCTCGGCCTCCCACTCCCGTTTCCACGGAGACGCAGTGGAGACGCTTCAAACCAATCTGCATAAAGGACCAGGCTCTGTATCCAAGTGCACAGTGTTTAGACATGTAGTTGCAGCTTGTGGCCAGTAGGGGGCAGTAGCAGTAGAAGCACTTCCTCAACAACATCCTCCTCAGGCCAAAGAAGGGAAAGAACCAACATCCTTCTTTAACAGCAGCACTACAGCTGTGGTTTGGTTTGGACCAAGGACTAGAACCCTCCTCAGTTAGCGAAGCACACGTAGCATTAGCACACTTAGCATTAGCACACTTAGCATTAGCCGACCTGCCGCCATTGACGTTCTACTGCGTCCAAATGTACGAAGTGCACCACACTGTGGTGATGTCACACTGTGATGTCCCAGTGTAATGATGTCACATGGTAATGATGTCACATGGTAATGATGTCACATGTAAGTAAGTAAGTAATCTTTATTTATATACCGCCTTTTCACTGCAGACCAGAGTCTCAAAGTGGTTTACAATTGTTAATTTTGGGCATTAATCTCTCACTCCACACAGAGATGGGAGGGGCCAGTACAGGAGGCGCATGCTAGAACTATTGGACATATTTTTAGTGGTAGGGGAAACCGGAGTACCCGGAGGAAACCTACGCAGACACGGGGAGAACATGCAAACTCCACTCAGAAAGGCCCTGGTCCGACCGGGATTCGAACCCAGGACCTTCTTGCTGAGAGGCGAGAGTGCTATCCACTCTGCCACCGTGCCGCCATGGTAGTGATGTCACATGGTAATGATGTCACATGGTAGTGATGTCACATGGTAATGATGTCACATGGTAATGTCGTCACATGGTAGTGATGTCACATGGTAATGATGTCACATGGTAGTGATGTCAGATGGTAGTGATGTCACATGGTAATGATGTCACATGGTAATGATGTCACATGGTAATGATGTCAGATGGTAGTGATGTCACATGGTAATGATGTCACATGTAATGATGTCACATGGTAGTGATGTCACATGGTAATGATGTCACATGTAATGATGTCAGATGGTAGTGATGTCACATGGTAATGATGTCACATGGTAGTGATGCCACATGGTAGTAATGCCACATGGTAATGATGTCACATGGTAGTGATGCCACATGGTAGTAATGCCACATGGTAATGATGTCACATGGTAATGATGCCACATGGTAGTAATGCCACATGGTAATGATGTCACATGGTAGTGATGCCACATGGTTGTACCTGGTGGGGGTGGTCCAGCTCCTCAGGGGAGGCTCGCTCTGGACTCCAGTTCCCCGTCTTCTGGAACATCTCCTGAGCTTTAGCCGTCATCCAGGACGGACTCTCTGTCAGACCCACCTCCGGAGGGCTGAGGAGGAGACAGAGGAGGTGAGGAGGAGGTGAGGAAAAGAGGGAAGAGGAGAGAGAGGAGGTCTGAGGAGGAGAGAGAGGAGGTCTGAGGAAAAGAGGGAAGAGGAGAGAGAGGAGGTCTGAGGAGGAGAGAGAGGAGGTCTGAGGAGGAGACAGAGGAGGTGAGGAGGAGACAGAGGAGGTGAGGAGGAGGTGAGGAAAAGAGGGAAGAGGAGGTCTGAGGAGGAGACAGAGGAGGTCTGAGGAGGAGAGAAAGGAGGTCTGAGGAGGAGACAGAGGAGGTGAGGAGGAGACAGAGGAAGTGAGGAGGAGGTGAGGAAAAGAGGGAAGAGGAGAGAGAGGAGGTCTGAGGAAAAGAGGGAAGAGGAGAGGAGGGGAGGGCAGAGGAAGAGAGAGAGGAGGTGAGGGCAGAGGAAGAGAGAGAGGAGGTGAGGGCAGAGGAAGAGAGGGGGAAGGTGAGGGCAGAGGAAGAGAGAGAGGAGGGGAGGGCAGAGGAAGAGAGAGAGGAGGTGAGGGCAGAGGAAAAGAGAGAGGAGGTGAGGGCAGAGGAAGAGAGAGAGGAGGTGAGGAGGGGAGGGCAGAGGAAGAGAGAGAGGAGGTGAGGAGGGGAGGGCAGAGGAAGAGAGAGAGGAGGTGAGGGCAGAGGAAGAGAGAGAGGAGGTGAGGGCAGAGGAAGAGAGGGGGGAGGTGAGGAGGGGAGGGCAGAGGAAGAGAGAGAGGAGGTGAGGGAAGAGGAAGAGAGAGAGGAGGTGAGGGCAGAGGAAGAGAGAGAGGAGGTGAGGGCAGAGGAAAAGAGAGAGGAGGTGAGGGCAGAGGAAGAGAGAGAGGAGGTGAGGAGGGGAGGGCAGAGGAAGAGAGAGAGGAGGTGAGGAGGGGAGGGCAGAGGAAGAGAGAGAGGAGGTGAGGGCAGAGGAAGAGAGAGAGGAGGTGAGGGCAGAGGAAGAGAGAGAGGAGGTGAGGGCAGAGGAAGAGAGAGAGGAGGTGAGGGCAGAGGAAGAGAGGGGAGGTGAGGAGCAGAGGGGGAGGTTTGAAAAGAAGAGAGGAGGTGAGGAAGAGAGGAAGGACGTGAGGAGGAGAGAGAGGAGGTGTCTCCCGCTCCTGCTTCTGACTGCTTGCTATCTCCTGTTTTTGTCTTTTTCCTGGAGTTTTGCCACAGACAACTTTAACAAGAATGGAAATCATCTTGCTCCCTCCCTCCCCTCCACTCCTCATTGTGTTTCCGACTCACCCTCTCCCTGACCCCGCCCCTCTCCCTGACCCCGCCCCCCTCCCTGACCCCGCCCCCCTCTGACAGCCACATTGGGCCGGCTGTCGGAGGTGCTCATCCCGAGAACAAAATCCGTGGTTTATACAAAGCACAATGTGTCTATCCAACTGTCTGTGTAACTGTATGTTATTGCTCTCTGCTGTTTATTCTACTGTTTGTCTGGCGCCGTAAAGATGGCGCCGTAAAGATGGCGCCGTGGCAAGAGCTCTGGTGTGTGTCGTCTTCTCTGTCTGGTGCACACTGGGGCAGTCTTGCACAGTTTTTCCAATGTGGTTTTACTGCAAATGGCAAATAAATGAATCTGAATCTGAATGTGAATCTGAATGTGAATCTGAGGAGAAGAGAAAGGACGTGAGGAGAGAGGAGGTCTGGGGAGGAGAGAGGAGGTGAGGGGGAAATAGAGGAGGTCTGAGGAGGAGAGAGAGGAGGTCTGGGGAGGAGAGAGAGGAGGTCTGGGGAGGAGAGAGGAGTTGAGGAGGAGGTCTGAGGAGAAGAGAATGGAGGTGAGGAAGAGAGGAAGGACGTGAGGAGGAGAGAAAGGACGTGAGGAGAGAGAGGAGGTCTGGGGAGGAGAGAGGAGTTGAGGAGGAGGTCTGAGGAGAAGAGAATGGAGGTGAGGAAGAGAGGAAGGACGTGAGGAGGAGAGAAAGGACGTGAGGAGAGAGAGGAGGTCTGGGGAGGAGAGAGGAGTTGAGGAGGAGGTCTGAGGAGAAGAGAATGGAGGTGAGGAAGAGAGGAAGGACGTGAGGAGGAGAGAGGAGGTCTGGGGAGGAGAGAGAGAATGAGAGAGAGGAAGTAACGAGGAGGTATAAGGAGGAAAGAGGAGGTGTGTGTCTCACGTCTGTGTGTGTGTCTTACGTGTCTGTGTCTCACGTGTGTGTGTCTTACGTGTGTGTGTCTCACGTGTGTGTGTCTTACGTGTGTGTGTCTCACGTGTCTGTGTGTGTCTCACCTGTCTGTGTGTGTGTCTCACGTGTCTGTGTGTGTCTCACGTGTCTGTGTGTGTCTCACGTGTGTGTGTCTTACGTGTGTGTGTCTCACGTGTCTGTGTGTGTCTCACCTGTTTGTGTGTGTGTCTCACGTGTCTGTGTGTGTCTCACGTGTCTGTGTGTGTCTTACGTGTGTGTGTCTCACGTGTGTGTGTCTCACGTGTCTGTGTGTGTCTCACCTGTCTGTGTGTGTGTCTCACGTGTCTGTGTGTGTCTCACGTGTCTGTGTGTGTCTTACGTGTGTGTGTCTCACGTGTGTGTGTCTCACGTGTCTGTGTGTGTCTCACCTGTCTGTGTGTGTGTCTCACGTGTCTGTGTGTGTCTCACGTGTCTGTGTGTGTGTCTCACGTGTCTGTGTCTCACGTGTCTTTGTGTGTGTCTCACGTGTCTGTGTGTGTCTCACGTGTCTGTGTGTGTGTCTCCCGTGTCTGTGTGTGTGTCTTACATGTGTGTGTCTCACGTGTCTGTGTGTGAGTCTCACGTGTCTGTGTCAAACGTGTCTGTGTGTGTCTCATGTGTGTGTGTCTCACGTGTGTGTGTCTCAAGTGTCATGTGTGTGTGTCTCACGTGTGTGTGTGTCTCATGTGTGTGTGTCACATGTGTGTGTGTGTGTGTCTCACGTGTGTGTGTGTCTCACATGTGTGTGTCTCACATGTCTGTGTGTGTCTCACGTGTCTTTATGTGTGTCTCACGTGTCTGTGTGTGTGTCTTACATGTGTGTGTCTCACGTGTGTGTGTCTCACGTGTGTGTGTCTCACGTGTGTGTGTCTTACATGTGTGTGTCTCACGTGTCTTTGTGTGTGTCTCACATGTCTGTGTGTGTGTCTTACATGTGTGTGTGTGTCTTACATGTGTGTGTGTGCCCAGAGTGATTTACAAATTGGTTGAAACACAATAAAAACCATTAATTTAAAAACAGGCAATAATAGAAAAATACAAAGAGATTCAGCTCATGTTAAAAGCCAGGGAAAAGAAATGGGTCTAAAAAGGGATTTAAACTGGACCAGTGTCAGTGGTTCTGACCCACGGTGGGAGATGGTTCCAAAGCCGGGCCCGGCCACAGAGAAGGCTCGGTTCTTCTACTCTTCATATGGATTTGGGAACTTTAAAGAGCACCTGGGAAGAGGACTTTGTAGTTCTACAGAATCCTGAACAATAGTTCATTCAAGTACGACGGGGCCGGGCCATAGAGACCAGTGTGGGCCGGGCCATAGAGACCAGTGTGGGCCGGGCCATAGAGACCAGTGTGGGCCGGGCCATAGAGACCAGTGTGGGCCGGTCCATAGAGACCAGTGTGGGCGGGTCCCAGCTCAAAAGACCTGGAGTAAGAATTAGCCAATGCTAACATATAGCATTAGGTGACCTCTGGAAACGTCTTCACAGGATGGACCAAAAGTTGGCTCTTGGCCCAAAGCTTCGTTCCACATGTGTGTCAATGCTGAGTGTTCTGGACCAGTCTAGTTTAGTCGCTGTGGACTTTAGAAGTCTCTCGGTTAAATGAATGGAGCTCTCTCCGCGCATGCACAATTTTCTTGTGGGCGGGACCACTCGCGGCCATTTTGGATAGCTCCAGTAGAGCACATTTTCGGCCCATTAGTTTGAATGACAGAGAAAGGCCTGACTCTGTCCATTAATATATACAGTCTATGGTGAAGATGTTTAAAAACGAAAAGTAGTATTTAAACTGAATCCGGTTTGTGACAGAAACCAGTGCAGTGACACCAGTGACACCAGTGACACCAGTGCAGTGACACCAGTGCAGTGACACCAGTGCAGTGACACCAGTGACACCAGTGCAGTGACACCAGTGCAGTGACACCAGTGACACCAGTGCAGTGACACCAGTGCAGTGACACCAGTGACACCAGTGCAGTGACACCAGTGCAGTGACACCAGTGACACCAGTGCAGTGACACCAGTGCAGTGACACCAGTGACACCAGTGCAGTGACACCAGTGCAGTGACACCAGTGCAGTGACACCAGTGACACCAGTACAGTGACACCAGTGACACCAGTGCAGTGACACCAGTGACACCAGTGCAGTGACACCAGTGCAGCGACACCAGTGCAGTGACACCAGTGCAGTGACACCAGTGCAGCGACACCAGTGCAGTGACACCAGTGCAGTGACACCAACGACACCAGTGCAGTGACACCAACAACACCAGTGCAGCGACACCAGTGCAGTGACACCAGTGCAGTGACACCAGTGCAGCGACACCAGTGCAGCGACACCAGTGCAGCGACACCAGTGCAGTGACACCAGTGCAGTGACACCAGTGCAGTGACACCAGTGCAGTGACACCAGTGCAGCGACACCAGTGCAGTGACACCAGTGCAGCGACACCAGTGCAGTGACACCAACGACACCAGTCCAGCGACACCAGTCCAGCGACACCATTGCAGCGACACCAGCGACACCAGTGCAGCGACACCAGTGCAGTGACACCAGTGCAGTGACACCAGTGCAGCGACACCAGTGCAGCGACACCAGTGACACCAGTGCAGCGACACCAGTGCAGTGACACCAGTGCAGCGACACCTGTGCAGTGACACCAGTGCAGTGACACCAGTGCAGCGACACCAGTGTGCAGTGACACCAGTGCAGTGACACCAGTGCAGCGACACAGTGCAGTGACACCAGTGCAGTGACACCAGTGCAGTGACACCAGTGCAGTGACACCAGTGCAGTGACACCAGTGCAGCATGGACCGGACTGAAGCATTCTCAGTCATCTCAAACATCTCTGTTATTCTGTTCTGTTTACTTTTTTCTCTGATCTTTATGAAATGGAATTAATGTGTTCCACGTGTGTTTCAATTAACTATTTCACTCTTCAATCTCTTCGGTCTTTTGTTTACATTTGAAAAGATTAGCTTAATATATTTGTGATCTACAGCCTCGGTCCTGGGTCTACAGCCTCGGTCCTGGGTCTACAGCCTCAGTCCTGGGTCTACAGCCTCAGTCCTGGGTCTACAGCCTCAGTCCTGGGTCTACAGCCTCGGTCCTGGGTCTACAGCCTCGGTCCTGGGTCTACAGCCTCAGTCCTGGGTCTACAGCCTCAGTCCTGGGTCTACAGCCTCAGTCCTGGGTCTACAGCCTCGGTCCTGGGTCTACAGCCTCAGTCCTGGGTCTACAGCCTCAGTCCTGGGTCTACAGCCTCAGTCCTGGATCTACAGCCTCAGTCCTGGGTCTACAGCCTCAGTCCTGGGTCTACAGCCTCAGTCCTGGATCTACAGCCTCAGTCCTGGGTCTACAGCCTCAGTCCTGGATCTACAGCCTCAGTCCTGGATCTACACCATATCAATCCTTCCTGGGTCCACACACTTTAAAATCCATATCTCTGGAATAAATGAATAGTATATATAGACGGAAGAGAGAGAAGAGAGGAGAGGGCAGAGGAGAGAGAGGAGGAGAGAGAGGAGGAGAGAGAGGGAGTGAGAGAGGAGAGAGAGGAGGAGAGAGAGGAGAGAGAGAGAGGAGAGAGAGGAGGAGAGAGAGGAGAGAGAGGAGGAGAGAGAGGAGGAGAGAGAGAGGAGAGAGAGGAGGAGGAGAGAGAGGAGAGAGAGAGAGAGGAGGAGAGAGAGAGAGAGAGGAGGAGAGAGAGGAGAGAGAGGAGGAGAGAGAGAGGAGGTGAGAGAGGAGGAGAGAGAGGAGGAGAGAGAGGAGGAGAGAGAGAGGAGAGAGAGAGAGAGAGGAGGAGGAGAGAGAGGAGGAGAGAGAGAGGAGGTGAGAGAGGAGGGCGGTCTATGGTCAATAGGTATTTGATATAGTCTTATGACAGGGAAAAAATGTCACATGAAATCGATCAACAAAAGCAGCTTCAATTCAAGTGTCAGAACTCACTCAGTGACTCAGGACAGAGGAGAGAGGAGGAGAGAGGGGGAGAGAGGAGGAGAGAGGAGAGAGAGCAGGAGAGGGGGAGAGAGAGGGGGAGAGAGGAGAGAGAGCAGGAGAGAGAGCAGGAGAGGGGGAGAGAGAGGGGGAGAGAGGAGAGAGAGCAGGAGAGAGAGCAGGAGAGGGGGAGAGAGAGGGGAGAGAGGAGATGAGAGGGAGAGAGGAGAGAGGGGGAGAGGGGAGAGAGGAGAGAGAGAAGAGAGGAGGAGAGGGGGAGAGAGAGGAGAGAGGAGAGAAGGAGAGAGGAGAGAGAGGAGGAGAGGGGGAACAGAGGCTAAAGAGAAGAGAGGGGAGGAATAAGGAGACAGAAAAGGAGAGAGGAGAGAGAGATGCTGCAGCTGTCACTCACCCAGACAGGCGTTGAGGAAGCCGTACCACACGCAGCCCGCCCGGCCGTAGAGCCAGCGCCCGCGGACACTGGCGGCGAAGCTCAGGGGGGTCCCGAAGGCGCTCACCAGGAGGTCGCTCACCGAGATACTGACCAGCAGCAGGTTCATGGGGGTCCGCAGGCTCCGGTACCGGCAGAACAGGGTCAGCACCAGCACGTTGGCCAGCAGACCCACGGCGCCGATCACACCCAGGCACACCGCCACCAGCAGGTGTCCCGCCGGGGTGAGGGTGAGGGAGGGGGGAGGCTCCGTGATCCCCAAGAACCCCTCCTGTCCTGGGGGAGCCGAGCTGAAGGCGTGGGCGCTGATGTTGGATATGATCATGAGGAGAGGACTCTGCGGGAAGGAAAGGTTATTTATGTAGCACCATACATGTCTACAGACTCGGTCCTGGGTCTACAGACTCAGTCCTGGGTCTACAGCCTCAGTCCGTGGTCTACAGCCTCAGTCCTGGGTCTACAGCCTCAGTCCTGGGTCTACAGCCTCAGTCCGTGGTCTACAGCCTCAGTCCTGGGTCTACAGACTCAGTCCTGGGTCTACAGCCTCAGTCCTGGGTCTACAGTCTCAGTCCTGGGTCTACAGCCTCAGTCCTGGGTCTACAGCCTCGGTCCGTGGTCTACAGCCTCAGTCCTGGGTCTACAGCCTCAGTCCTGGGTCTACAGCCTAAGTCCTGGGTCTACAGCCTCAGTCCTGGGTCTACAGCCTAAGTCCTAGGTCTACAGCCTCAGTCCTGGGTCTACAGACTCAGTCCTGGGTCTACAGCCTCAGTCCTGGGTCTACAGTCTCAGTCCTGGGTCTCAGCCAGCCTCAGTCCTGGGTCTACAGCCTCAGTCCTGGGTCTACAGCCTAAGTCCTGGGTCTACAGCCTCAGTCCTGGGTCTACAGCCTCAGTCCTGGGTCTACAGCCTCAGTCCTGGGTCTACAGTCTCAGTCCTGGGTCTACAGCCTCAGTCCTGGGTCTACAGCCTCAGTCCTGGGTCTACAGCCCAGCCTCAGTCCTGGGGGTCTACAGCCTAAGTCCTAGGTCTACAGAGTCCTGGGTCTACAGCCTCAGTCCTGGGTCTACAGCCTCAGTCCTGGGTCTACAGCCTCAGTCCTGGGTACAGCCTCAGTCCTGGGTCTACAGCCTCAGTCCTGGGTCTACAGCCTCAGTCCTGGGTCTACAGCCTCAGTCCTGGGTCTACAGCCTCAGTTCCTGGGTCTAGAGCCTCAGTCCTGGGTCTACAGCCTCAGTCCTGGGTCTACAGCCTCAGTCCTGGGTCTACAGCCTCAGTCCTGGGTCTACAGCCTCAGTCCTGGGTCTACAGCCTCAGTCCTGGGTCTACAGCCTCAGTCCTGGGTCTACAGCCTCAGTCCTGGGTCTACAGCCTCGGTCCTGGGTCTACAGCCTCAGTCCTGGGTCTACAGCCTCGGTCCTGGGTCTACAGCCTCAGTCCTGGGTCTACAGCCTCGGGTCCTGGGTCTACAGCCTCAGTCCTGGGTCTACAGCCTCGGTCCTGGGTCTACAGCCTCAGTCCTGGGTCTACAGCCTCAGTCCTGGGTCTACAGCCTCAGTCCTGGGTCTACAGCCTCAGTCCTGGGTCTACAGCCTCGGTCCTGGGTCTACAGCCTCAGTCCTGGGTCTACAGCCTCGGTCCTGGGTCTACAGCCTCGGTCCTGGGTCTACAGCCTCAGTCCTGGGTCTACAGCCTCAGTCCTCAGTCAAATACATTAAAGTGAAGTTGACTGAACTCTTCCCACGCAGAGGTCTGAGTGTGGTCTCACTTGAGAAGCGGGGGCCCTCCTCCTGGTCCTGGTCCCGGTCCTGGTCTTGTCCCGGACCACAGCGGTACTGGTCCAGGGCCGTGATGGTGCACTGTCCCACCACCGGCCTCCTCCCGAACTGACGGTTATCGATGACTTTGACCACGATGGGAGGAATGTACAGGTCCTCCACAGGCAGCAACTGTACAACACAGGAACCAGGCTGAGACCAGAGACCAGAGAGAGACCAGAGAGAGACCAGAGAGAGACCAGAGAGAGACCAGAGAGAGACCAGAGGGAGACCAGAGAGACCAGAGAGAGACCAGAGAGAGACCAGAGAGAGACCAGAGAGAGACCAGAGAGAGACCAGAGAGAGACAAGAGGGAGACCAGAGGGAGACCAGAGAGAAACCAGAGAGAGAGACCAGAGAGAGACCAGAGAGAGAAACCAGAGAGAGAGACTAGAGAGAGACCAGAGAGAGACCAGAGAGAGACCAGAGAGAGACCAGAGGGAGACCAGAGAGACCAGAGAGAGACCAGAGATAGAGACCAGAGAGAAACCAGAGAGAGAGACTAGAGAGAGACCAGAGAGAGACCAGAGAGAGACCAGAGAGAGACCAGAGGGAGACCAGAGAGAGACCAGAGAGAGAGACCAGAGAGAGACCAGAGGGAGACCAGAGAGACCAGAGAGACCAGAGAGAGACCAGAGAGAGACCAGAGGGAGACCAGAGAGAGACCAGAGGGAGACCAGAGAGAGACCAGAGAGAGACCAGAGAGAGACCAGAGAGAGACCAGAGAGAGACAGGAGGAGAGAGACCAGAGAGAGACCAGAGAGAGACCAGAGAGAGACCAGACAGAGAAACCAGAGAGAGACCAGAGAGAGACCAGAGAGAGAAACCAGAGAGAGACCAGAGAGACCAGAGAGAGACCAGAGAGAGAAACCAGAGAGAGACCAGAGAGACCAGAGAGAGACCAGAGAGAGACAGGAGAGAGACCAGAGAGAGACCAGAGAGAGACCAGACAGAGACCAGAGAGAGAGACCAGAGAGAGACAGGAGAGAGACCAGAGAGAGACCAGAGAGAGAGACCAGAGAGAGACCAGACAGAGACCAGAGATAGAGACCAGAGAGAAACCAGAGAGAGAGACTAGAGAGAGACCAGAGAGAGACCAGAGAGAGAAACCAGAGAGAGACCAGAGAGAGGAACCAGAGAGAGACCAGAGAGAGACCAGAGAGAGACCAGAGAGAGAAACCAGAGAGAAACCAGAGAGAGACCAGAGAGACCAGAGAGAGATCAGAGAGAGAGACCAGGTCAAGCAAAGTGAACATACTTCTTGATTAACTCTAATTTAAACTATTTCATACTAATTTAACGTGACAGGTTTAACATCAGTCCTTCCAGAACGTTCCGTCTCTTCTGCAGAGCTCTCAGGTCGTGCTCCGGTCCCTGTTTGTGCCTTAAACATAAATCTTTTGAACATAAATGTGTTTGAGCCAAAAGGATCTGAGTCCTGAAGGTCAGACTCTGGTGTTAAAGTCAGTGGAAAAACACAGAGCTCTGTTTCCGAACTCATAATGAGACCAGAATGAGCCAAAGTCAATGGAAGCTTTCACACTACGTTTAAAGAGCAAACTGAGGCTCAGACTGCGGTCTCTCTCTGGTCTCTCTCTGGTCTCTCTCTGGTCTCTCTCTCTGGTCTCTCTCTGGTCTCTCTCTCTGGTCTCTCTCTGGTCTCTCTCTGGTCTCTCTCTGGTCTCTCTCTCTGGTCTCTCTCTCTGGTCTCTCTCTGGTCTCTCTCTCTGGTCTCTCTCTGGTCTCTCTCTGGTCTCTCTCTGGTCTCTCTCTGGTCTCTCTCTGGTCTCTCTCTGGTCTCTCTCACTGGTCTCTCTCTGGTCTCTCTCTGGTCTCTCTCTGGTCTCCCTCTGGTCTCTCTCTGGTCTCTCTCTGGTCTCTCTCTGGTCTCTCTCTGGTCTCTCTCTGGTCTCTCACTGATCTCTTCTCTGGTCTCTCACTGGTCTCTCTCTGGTCTCTCTCTGGTCTCTCTCTGGTCTCTCTCTGGTCTCCCTCTGGTCTCTCTCTGGTCTCTCTCTGGTCTCTCTCTGGTCTCTCTCTGGTCTCTCTCTGGTCTCTCACTGGTCTCTCTCTGGTCTCTCTCTGGTCTCTCTCTGGTCTCCCTCTGGTCTCTCTCTGGTCTCTCTCTGGTCTCTCTCTGGTCTCTTTCTGGTGTCTCTCTGGTCTCTCTCTGGTCTCTTTCTGGTGTCTCTCTGGTCAGTGGAAAAACTATAGGACATAATGCGTGACTGTTTAGTGAGTTTTTATGGTGAGTTTCCATGACGACAAAATCCACTGAGACATAATTCAGTTTGGCCACATGGTGTCACATGGTTCATGTTTCCTGGTTTTGCTGCAGGTGTGAAAGACGGAGATTCAATTTTGTTTAACTCTCATTCGATGACATCAGAAGTGGAAAGACTTTAAATCACTAAGAGAAAGTTCCCAGTCCTCTCCTGGTCCCACTCCTCTCCTGGTCCCAGTCCTCTCCTGGTCCCACTCCTCTCCTGGTCCCAGTCTACACGTGAATAACATGAAACATATATGTGCTCTAAACACATTCATGATATCAGCCTTTCCCTCTGCTCTGAAATGCCTGGGCTGCCTCGTCTCAGTCGTATCTCGTTTCCGTGGTTACATGCAGAAGAACTGGTTGGATCTAGTTCTTCTGTTTCACTTTGTGCCATATGAATAAATGTTTAAAGTTACATGTACAGTATGTGTGTGCGTCTGTAAGGAGCAGTGGTCGCCATAGTAACAGTCCACATGTTGATGGTCTTCAGGACCAGAGCTGGAGGACTTTATCAATTGTACACGTTTTTAGACAGGAGCACCTGGAGGAAACCTCTGCAAGAAAGAGACCAGAGAGAGACCAGGGAGACCATAGAGAGACAAGAGAGACCAGAGAGACCAGAGAGAGACCAGAGAGGGACCAGATAGAGACCAGGGAGAGACCAGAGAGATCAGAGGGACCAGAGAGACCATAGAGACCATAGAGAGACCAGAGAGAGACCAGAGAGAGCAGAAAGAGACCAGAGAGACCAGAAAGACCATAGAGAGACCAGAGAGAGCAGAGAGAGACCAGATAGAGACCAGGGAGCGACCAGAGAGATCAGAGAGATCAGAGAGACCAGAGAGAGACCAGAGAGACCAGAGAGAGACCAGGGAGAGGCCAGAGAGACCAGAGAGAGACCAGGGAGACCACAGAGAGACCAGAAGGACCAGAGAGAGACCAGGAAGACCACAGAGAGACCAGGGAGAGGCCAGAGAGACCAGAGAGACCAGAGAGAGGCCAGAGAGACCAGAGAGAGACCAGGGAGACCACAAGAGAGACCAGAAGGACCAGAGAGAGGCCAGAGAGACCAGAGAGACCAGAGAGAGACCAGGGAGAGGCCAGAGAGACCAGAGAGACCAGAGAGAGGCCAGAGAGAGGCCAGAGAGAGGCCAGAGAGACCAGAGAGAGGCCATCATTCGTACCACGTCCAGCAGGAGTGTGTTGATGTCAAAGTTTGGTTTCTTCTTCACGTTGTGGATGACGCAGCTCTGCACAGTGACGCCTCCACACTCCACCTGCAGGCTGGGGGAGGTAACACTGGCCAGCTGGAAGCTCTTCAGGCTCCTCAGCCCCCACAGCAGGACCTAGGGTTAGAGGTCAGAGAGAGACCTGAGGGTCAGAGGTCAGAGGTCAGAGAGAGACTTGAGGGTCAGAGGTCAGGGGTCAGAGAGAGAGGGGTCAGAGGTCAGGGGTCAGGGAAAGAACTGAGGGTCAGAGGTCAGAGAGAGGGTCTTCAGCCTGAGGACACCAACATGTAGAGGACGAGACACAATCAGAATCAGAATCATTTTTATTGCCACGTAAGTAACAAAGTTACCACTTGGAAATGGTTTTGGCAGAGAGCGCTGTGTGCAGCGAGAAACAGCAGAGAGACAGTTGGATAGACACATCGTGCTTTGTATAAACCACAGATTTTTTTCTCGGGATGAGAACCATCAACTGCCGGCCCAATGTGGCTGTCAGAGGGGGGCGGGGTCAGGGAGGGGGGGAGCCGGAAACACAATGAGGAGTGTAGGGGAGGGAGGGAGGGAGCAAGATGGATAGGTAGAGGGAGGCGGGGGTGAGGGATCCGAGCTGGAGACTGAAGAGTGTGAGGTTGTTATAGATTGGGGGCCTTGGCCGAGGAATGTGAGATAAGAGTGGAGAGAAGGCACAGCAGGAGAAAAACACATCGCCTCAGGGGGACAATATTATATGCAATGTAGCAGTCAAAACAGGCAGATATTGTATTAAATCCAATTAATCCGAATTGCGGCGCCCTTAGACCTCCGTACACAGGGGCAAATCCAAGCCGGGTCAGAGAGTTCAAGCCTGACACACGATGTCATTCAATCTCATCTCCAATGTTTTAATGTTTTATTCCCTTCGAGTGAACGAGCTGCGAGATCTTTTATCAACTGTTCCACCAGAACCACTCTCCTTTGTCCAGCCACAGCACTCTCAACCACGACTCGGCTAAGCTCCTTGTACATCCCATCAATTTTGTCGGCCAGCAGCTCGTGAATCTTGCGAACTGCCATGCCTCCGAATTTGTGGTAGAAGAGAACCGCTCCAAACCCAAACAGGAGGATTCCCACCACCAAAATGCCAAAGATATATACGTCTTCTGAATCTTCAATGGACAGGGTCGACAGACAGAGGGGCTGAAACTTGTTCCAGCTGTCAAGAGTATACCCCGCTGGTGAAGTCCCGTCCGGGCACACGGGCTCTCCAGACCCACGCTTACATGTTGAAAAGATAGAATCAATTGCGTTGAGGGACCAGTTAATCATTTCCATTCTTGTTAAAGTTGTCTGTGGCAAAACTCCAGGAAAAAGACAAAAACAGGAGATAGCAAGCAGTCAGAAGCAGGAGCGTCTGAGACACGTCTGTGCTCGACGGAGGCGGAAGGAAGGAAGTAAAAGCTGAAAATCACATCTGACTGTTTTTCTGTTCTTTATACTTTAGAATCCAACATGACACAGTCTCTCCTTCTCTCTGGTCTCTCTCTGGTCTCTCTCTGGTCTCTCTCTGGTCTCTCTCTGGTCTCTCTCTGGTCTCTCTCTGGTCTCTCTCTCGTCTCTCTCTGGTCTCTCTCTGGTCTCTCTCTGGTCTCTCTCTGGTCTCTGGTCTCTCTCTCTCTGGTCTCTCTCTGGTCTCTCTCTGGTCTCTCTCTGGTCTCTCTCTGGTCTCTCTCTGGTCTCTCTCTCTGGTCTCTCTCTGGTCTCTCTCTGGTCTCTCTCTCTGGTCTCTCTCTGGTCTCTCTCTGGTCTCTCTCTGGTCTCTCTCTCGTCTCTCTCTGGTCTCTCTCTGGTCTCTCTCTGGTCTCTCTCTGAACTCTCTCTGGTCTCTCTCTCTGGTCTCTCTCTGGTCTCTCTCTGGTCTCTCTCTGGTCTCCCTCTGGTCTCTCTCTGGTCTCTCTCTGGTCTTCCTGGTCTCTCCCTGGTGTTACCTCAATAGCGGTCCTCTGCAGTGCTGGTTTGATTCCCTGTGGAACCATGTAGACGTTGGGTTCTCTCTGAGGAGGCGGCGGCGGCAGATCCGACTGTTGGGACTGAAACCACACATTTAGCACACACTCGGTTCAGAACAAGCAGGAGCTAATACACAGAGAGGCCCTGGTACCCATTGCTGGTCGTCGGGGACCAGGCCACTGAAGAGGAGCTGCAGAAACACAAGAGAGGAGAGTGTCACATGGTGTTGCCACGGGGCAGGTGTGGCTACAGTGAGAGTGACGGACCTCATCCAGAGCTTGGTAGGAGGTCACCACGTCGCCCTGGGACACAAACACACATGAACACGCAGGTTGGGAACGCTAAGAATATCAAAAATGCACAAACCGACCTCTTGTCCCGGGATGTGGTGAAGAGACGGCTGCGGAGGAGAGAGAGGAACACATCAGTCTGGTTCAGTCCGGTTCAGTCCGGTTCTGATACACAGGACTTTTCAAAGTTCTCAATGTGGAAGCAGGAAAGTGAGGGGACGAACTATTTACTGATTTAAACTAAAAACTTATCTTAATGTGGATTTAAACTCATGTGTGTGCAATACTAGAAGGCTGTAGGTCCAGGACTGAGGCTGTAGACCCCAGGACCGAGGCTGTAGACCCAGGACTGAGGCTGTAGACCCCAGGACTGAGGCTGTAGATCCAGGACTGAGGCTGTAGACCCAGGACTGAGGCTGTAGATCCAGGACTGAGGCTGTAGACCCCAGGACTGAGGCTGTAGACCCAGGACTGAGGCTGTAGACCCCAGGACTGAGGCTGTAGACCCAGGACTGAGGCTGTAGATCCAGGACTGAGGCTGTAGATCCAGGACTGAGGCTGTAGACCCAGGACTGAGGCTGTAGATCCAGGACTGAGGCTGTAGACCCCAGGACTGAGGCTGTAGATCCAGGACTGAGGCTGTAGATCCAGGACTGAGGCTGTAGATCCAGGACTGAGGCTGTAGATCCAGGACTGAGGCTGTAGACCCAGGACTGAGGCTGTAGACCCAGGACTGAGGCTGTAGACCCAGGACCGAGGCTGTAGACCCAGGACTGAGGCTGTAGACCCCAGGACTGAGGCTGTAGATCCAGGACTGAGGCTGTAGACCCAGGACTGAGGCTGTAGACCCAGGACTGAGGCTGTAGACCCAGGACTGAGGCTGTAGACCCAGGACTGAGGCTGTAGATCAAGGACTGAGGCTGTAGACCCCAGGACTGAGGCTGTAGATCCAGGACTGAGGCTGTAGACCCAGGACTGAGGATGTAGACCCAGGACTGAGGCTGTAGATCCAGGACTGAGGCTGTAGACCCAGGACTGAGGCTGTAGACCCAGGACTGAGGCTGTAGATCCAGGACTGAGGCTGTAGGTCCAGGACTGAGGCTGTAGACCCAGGTGGATTTAGACTGTAGTACCGTGGGTGGCCTCTTGGTGGTGCTCTGACCTGGTCTCTCTGCAGGATGTGAAACGCCGCCAGCAGCTGTCCCCCGCTGCCTCCCCCTCTGTCTCCCCCGCTGCCTCCCCCTCTGTCTCCCCCGCTGCCTCCCCCTCTGAGGATGGGGAACCAGGAAAGACGAGGCTCTGGGTCGAAGGACGGGGGACACACACACCGACCCATGAACTCGTCTGCTCCCTGAGGAGAGAGGAGAGGGTGAGGGGAGAGGGTGAGGAGGGAGAGGAGAGAAAGGAGAGAGATGAGAGAAAGGAGAGGGTGAGGTGAGAAGAGAGAGGGTGAGGAGACATTCGGTTCCTGCGTACGTATGAGTCCTGGTCGTACAGCTCCACCACAACCTCTGGAGGGTTTTCCCGCAGGTGCTCCGGGTGTCCGAAGATCTCCACCTCATAGAAGACCAGGGTCTGGTCCCAGGTCGGGTTCAGGGAGTTCCGGACTGTGACGGTCTTCTGGGACTGATGCAGGAAGGAGACCACAGCATATGGGTCTGTGACAGGGGAGCAATGATGAGTCATGGTGAGTTAATGATGAGTCATGCTGAGTTAATGATGAGTCATAATGAGTTAATGATAAGTTAATGATGAGTCATGGTGAGTTAATGATGAGTCATAATGAGTTAATGATAAGTTATTGATGAGTCATGCTGAGTTAATGATGAGTCATGGTGAGTTAATGATGAGATAATGAGTTAATGATGAGTCATGGTGAGTTAATGATGAGTCATAATGAGTTAATGATAAGTTATTGATGAGTCATGCTGAGTTAATGATGAGTCATGGTGAGTTAATGATGAGTTAATGATGAGTCATGGTGAGTTAATGATGAGTCATAATGAGTTAATGATAAGTTATTGATGAGTCATGCTGAGTTAATGATGAGTCATGGTGAGTTAATGATGAGTCATGGTGAGTTAATGATGGGTCATGGTGAGTTAATGATGAGTCATGGTGAGTTAATGATGAGTCATGGTGAGTTAATGATGAGATAATGATGAGTTAATGATGAATCATGGTGAGTTAATGATGAGTCATAATGAGTTAATGATAAGTTATTGATGAGTCATGCTGAGTTAATGATGAGTCATGGTGAGTTAATGATGAGTTAATGATGAGTCATGGTGAGTTAATGATAAGTTATTGATGAGTCATGCTGAGTTAATGATGAGTCATGGTGAGTTAATGATGAGTCATGGTGAGTTAATGATGGGTCATGGTGAGTTAATGATGAGTTAATGATGAGTCATGGTGAGTTAATGATGAGTCATAATGAGTTAATGATAAGTTATTGATGAGTCATGCTGAGTTAATGATGAGTCATGGTGAGTTAATGATGAGTTAATGATGAGTTAATGATGAGTTAATGATGAGTCATAGTGAGTTAATGCTGAGTCATGGTGAGTTAATGATGAATCATGGTGAGTTAATGATGAGTCATGGTGAGTTAATGATGAGTCATGGTGAGTTAATGATGAGTCATGCTGAGTTAATGATGAGTCATAGTGAGATAATGATGAGTCCACCATGCTGAGTCATGGTGGACTCATCATGACTCATCATGAGCTGATGCATTTTCCATGTGTAGTGTGTATAAAACGCTGCAGTCATGTGTCGTCAGGTCCTGAGACATGATCTCCATCATGTCTAACTTCCTGTTTGAGGAGGTTTTACCAGAGAAGCTGTCCTTGTCCATGGGGGGCAGGTCTCGGGCCTGGTACATGTAGCAGCGCAGATGGTACCGAGTTCCTCCTGCAGGAACAGAGGACCATGGTTATCCTCATGAGAACTCCTCCTCACCAGCAGAAGGGGTTCTTACGGTCAAAGAAGCAGGAGATGGTCGGTCTGCTCACTCCGAACGTGGTCGTGACGGACTTGTCCTCACTACGATCCTCAATACTGCTCTGTGGAGCCAAAGACCAGACCCAGTTTAGTCCTGGTTTGGTCCTGGTTTAGTCCTGATTTTGTCCTGCTTTAGACCTGCTTTAGTCCTGATTTTGTCCTGCTTTAGACCTGCTTTAGTCCTGGTTCAGTCCTGCTCCAGTCCTACTTTAGTCCAGGTTTAGTTCCTGATCTAGTGGTTCAGTCCTGGTTCAGTCCCGGTCTAGTCCTTCACCAGAGAGCACTCCAGATCAAAGATGGCCGCGGGGCCGGTCCTCTCCAGAGGCTCCATGCGACACCTCCACCTCCTTCTCCTGAAGCTGTCCGTCTTTCGGGGTTTGGTGTGAAACCTCCATCCAAACACTGAGGCGTACTCCCAGCCCTCCAGGTCCTCGGCCCGCTGCTGCAGGACCAGGGCGGGACTATTAATGAGACTAATAATAATAATCATAATAATTATATTCATAATAATCATAATAATTATAATAATAACATTAATAGTAGGATGTATTGTTATTACTGTAGATGTATTGGTCTAAAGTTTGTGAGGAACAATGTTGTGACTCAGAGAAAGAGGAAAGTTCAAGTTCATTTGTTATGGCACACTGCCCTCTGGTGGCGGTGGGCAGAACTACATGTATGTGAGAGCGAGGCCAGGGAGAGACCAGAGCTAGACCAGAGAGAGACCAGAGAGAGACCAGAGAGAGACCAGAGAGAGAGACCAGAGAGAGAGACCAGAGAGAGACCAGAGAGGGACCAGAGAAAGACCAGAGAGAGACCAGAGAGAGACCAGAGAGAGACCAGTGAGAGACCAGAGAGAGACCAGAGAGAGACCAGAGAGAGAGACCAGAGAGAGACCAGAGAGGGACCAGAGAGAGACCAGAGAGAGACCAGAGAGAGACCAGAGAGGGACCAGAGAGAGACCAGAGAGAGACCAGTGAGAGACCAGAGAGAGACCAGAGAGAGACCGGAGAGAGAGACCAGTGAGAGACCAGAGAGAGACCAGAGAGAGACCAGAGAGAGACCAGAGAGAGACCGGAGAGAGAGACCAGTGAGAGAGACCAGGGAGAGACCAGAGAGAGACCGGAGAGAGAGACCAGTGAGAGAGACCAGTGAGAGTCCAGAGAGAGAGACCAGTGAGAGAGACCAGTGAGAGTCCAGAGAGAGAGACCAGAGAGAGACCAGAGAGAGACCAGAGAGAGACCAGAGAGAGAGACCTGAGAGAGACCAGAGAGAGACCGGAGAGGGACCAGAGAGAGAGACCAGAGAGAGGGACCAGAGAGAGAGACCAGAGAGAGAGACCAGAGAGAGACACCGGAGAGGGACCAGAGAGAGAGACCAGAGAGAGACCAGAGAGAGAGACCAGAGAGGGACCAGAGAAAGACCAGAGAGAGACCAGAGAGAGACCAGAGAGAGACCAGTGAGAGACCAGAGAGAGACCAGAGAGAGACCAGAGAGAGAGACCAGAGAGAGACCAGAGAGAGACCAGAGAGAGACCAGAGAGAGACCAGAGAGAGACCAGAGAGGGACCAGAGAGAGACCAGAGAGAGACCAGTGAGAGACCAGAGAGAGACCAGAGAGAGACCGGAGAGAGAGACCAGTGAGAGACCAGAGAGAGACCAGAGAGAGACCAGAGAGAGACCGGAGAGAGAGACCAGTGAGAGAGACCAGGGAGAGACCAGAGAGAGACCGGAGAGAGAGACCAGTGAGAGAGACCAGTGAGAGTCCAGAGAGAGAGAACCAGTGAGAGAGACCAGTGAGAGTCCAGAGAGAGAGACCAGAGAGAGACCAGAGAGAGACCAGAGAGAGACCAGAGAGAGAGACCTGAGAGAGACCAGAGAGGGACCAGAGAGAGAGACCAGAGAGAGGGACCAGAAAGAGAGACCAGAGAGAGAGACCAGAGAGAGACACCGGAGAGGGACCAGAGAGAGAGACCAGAGAGAGACCAGAGAGAGAGACCAGAGAGAGAGACCAGAGAGAGAGACCAGAGAGAGAGACCAGTGAGAGTCCAGAGAGAGAGACCAGAGAGAGAGACCAGAGAGAGAGACCAGAGAGAGACCAGAGAGTGTGTGAGACCTTGGTGAGGCAGCTCCTCTGGCTCAGGTCTCTGTGTCTGAGTCTGGTCCATCGTCTGCGTCTGTTTGTGTGATACATCTTCTCTGAAGGAACCCAGGACTTTGGACGTCTGTCCGGAGGAAGGGTGATGCCATACTCCCATCCTGAACACACACACACACAGACACACACACACACACACACACACACACACACACACACACACACACACACACACTGTTACCCTCTGTCCCAGTCTAACCCTAGCCCTAACAGTAGGAGATGGACCTTGCTCGTCCACGGCTCGGTTCAGGTCCTCGCTCCACTCTGGCTCCGCCCACTTCCAGCCTGACGGACACTCCACCTCCTCTTTGGGGACCGCCTTCTCTCCGTTCTGGAAGAAACACATGTAGCTACAGGATCAGCGACACAGATGCTGTATACAGATGTGTTTCCATGGTAACTGACCACGTCCGTGTAGGCGTCCGTCATGGCGACCCACTGTCCTCCGGGCAGACGCATCATGTTCTCGAACACCTCCTCAGAGAAGGTCATGTGACCCGCGTCCACGTCCAGCAGCAGCCTGAGGATCACGGGTAACTGTCTGTATGTCACATGTACTCTCTCCTCTGTACTCTCTCCTCTGTACTCTCTGCACTCTACTCTCTCCTCTGTACTCTCTCCTCTGTACTCTCTCCTCTGTACTCTCTCCTCTGTACTCTCTCCTCTGTACTCTCTCCTCTGTACTCTCTCATCTGTACTCTCTCATCTGTACTCTCTCCTCTGTACTCTCTCATCTGTACTCTCTCCTCTGTACTCTCTCCTCTGTACTCTCTCCTCTGTACTCTCTCTCTCTCCTCCACTCTATCCTCCCCTCTCTCTCCTCTCTCCCCACTCTCCCCTCTCTCCCCTCTCTCTCCCCCCTCTCCTCTGTCCCCCCTCTCTCCTCTCTCTCTCCCCCCCCTCTCTCCCCCCTCTCTCCCCCCCCCCCCTCTCTCCCTCTCTCTCCTCCCCCTCCCCCCCCCCCCTCTCTCTCCCCTCTTTCTCCCTCTCTCTCCCCTCCCCCCCCTCTCTCTCCCCTCTCTCCCCTCTCTCTCCCCTCCTCGCCCTCTCTCTCCCCCCTCTCCTCTGTCCCCCCTCTCTCCTCTCTCTCTCCCCTCTCTCTCCCCCCTCTCTCCCCTCTCTCCTCTCTCCCCCTCTCTCTCCCCCCCTCCTCTGTCCCCCTCCCTCCTCTCTCCTCCCCTCCCCTCTCTCCCCCCCTCTCTCTCTCCCATCTCCCCCTCTCTCTCCCCTCCCTCCCCCTCTCTCCCCTCTCCCCCTCCCCTCTCTCTCCTCTCCTCTCCCCTCTCTCTCCCCTCTCCCTCCCCCCTCCTCCCCTCTGTCCCCTCCTCTCCCTCCTCAGACCAGAGAGAGACCTCTCTCTCTCCCCTCTCTCTCCCCTCTCTCTCCCCTCGCTCTCTCCCCTCTCTCTCCCCCCTCTCCCCCCTC